GGGGGGGAGCGCGGGGCGAGCTCCCGCGAGTCCAAATAGGACCATGCCTGGGCCGCCGCCCACGTGCGTCATATCGACCGGCTGTAAACCAGCTGCACACATCGGTGCCCACGGCCCAGGACCCTGCAGGTGCCGCGCTGCCTGGGTTGGTGCCCACAGGCTACGCACACACCAGCACTCACTGCCATCTCGTCGCCGTTAGGACCCGGTGCACACATCTATCTGTGCGCGCGCTATCCGGAGCCTGCGGGCTCACACAGCACCTGGGCTCGTGCCCACACCCTAGCATCCAGTCAGCACCTCTGGGAGCAAAGGCACACGGCAGCGAGCACCCACACGCCCACAGGGACTCAGAGCGGCACGTCCCGACGCGGCAGGCGCAGATGCATCTCCGTCTCTGCTCTCACCGCACGCCGCACCTATGGGGTCTCTAGTGTCTTTTAGCATTTGAACCTCGACACTATGGTATATTCGACTTGCAAAAATAATACAGAACAGGGATGGGGCCGGCAGGCGGTGTGGTGGCTGAGGCTCTGGACTCCCACATGGCGGGGGAACCAGCAGTTAGCGTAATGGCTATGTCGCTGGACTCCCACGTAGTTGACCGCGGTTCGTGTCCCGGGTCCGGTGGCTTAATCTCACCCCTGGCGCGGGCGCGTGTGCGTGCATGCCCAAGATCCCGAGAGGAGAATGGAGGAGGAGAAGGGATTGCGGCGTGACCATCCCCCCTGGGGGGTGATTTCTCGCTTTCTGTCTCTAGTCTCTCTCTGTGTGTCTGGCGAGCGCGCGCACCCTACAGTGAAAATCTCTCCAAAAAAAGAAAAGAAAAAAATAATAATAACAAATAAAATTAAATACTTTTTTTTTTTTAAAGATGTTTTTGCTATAGGGTGTATGCACTCGCCGGACAGAAAGAAAGCAAGAAATCACCCCCTCAGAGGGGATGGTCACATTGGAATATTTTCTCCTCCATGCTCTTGCGATTTTGGGCAGGCACACACACGTATCAGTGTGAGGCTTAAGCCGCTGGGTCTGGGACTTCAACCACAGTTGACTACCTGGGAGTCCAGCAATGTAACCATTTCATCATCTGCTGGTCCTAATAAATAAATAATTCTTTAAAATAAAATAATAAAAAGAGTGGCAAAAGCCATTAAAAAAAAAAAAGTACTGGACCAGCAGGTGGTGTGATGGATGAAGGCACTGGATTCCCACATGGCTGGCCGTGGTTCAAGTCCTGGACCTGGCAGCTTGCTTTCTCACTGTCCCTTTCTATGTCTCTGGTCAAATTAAATAATAACAATAACAAATAAAATTAAATAAATAAATATTTTTGGAGAGGTTTTTGCTATACGGCAGATGCGCTTGCCAGAAAGACAGAGAGACAGAAAGCAAGAAATCACCCCCAGGGGGGATAGGCACACCGCAGTCCCTTCTCCTCCATTCCCCTCTCAGGATTTTGGGTACGCTCGCGAATGCGCCCGGCATGGGTTTAAGCCACCAGATCCGGGACTCAAACCGCAGACATGGGAGCCCAGCGACATAGCCATTACGCCAACTGCTGGCCCCAATAGTTATCTTTTTTTTAAAAAAAGTACTGAACAGGGGCCAACCAGGTGGCTGGTGTATAAGGTGGCTGGACCCCATGTAGTCTGTTGTCCAGTTCATGTCAAAGATTGGTGGCTGGAAAAACTCGCTGGGCACATGGTGGCCAAAATCCTGAGAAGAGAATGAAGGGACTGCAGGGTGGCCATCTCCCCTGAAGGGTGATTCTCCCTCTTCTCTGCCTCTCTCTGGTGAGTGCATGCACCCTATAGCAAACTAAAAATTTTTTTAAAAAATACTGAGCCAAGAAGTGTCCCCTTTTTGACATTCGTTTTTAATTAAGCAATGCTATTTCCTGAGGTAACTCAGGTGCACAGGTGTGCGAGCCCATGTGAAGTACCTTTGTGGTGACTGGGACACACCAGCTATCCAGGTATGTCCTTCGGCATACAGGGGAGGAGGGAGGAGGGACGGGCTTTTTGTTCTGAGTGCCCAGGTTGTCTATTGACCCAGCCCACCCCCCACCCCACCTAAGAACTACTCAAGTAGCCCCACACCCTACATCCACACAGTGTACGTGCGAGCATCCTGTGAACACACCAGCAACGCCACACGGGCGGCCAGCCCCATCAGTCTTGGTGTCAACTGCTGCTATCTACCACATGCATGTGAGTCCTGAACCCGGCCTGCTTCGGGAGCCTGGGTTTTGCTCCCTTCTCCCCAGAATGCTCACTCCCTGGTCTCAGGTGCAGGTGTGCACACACAGACATAGGTCACTGTGGCTCTCTCCAACCTGACTATGGCACCCCCTCGCGCCCTCTGGCACACGTACTGTGTTCAATAAACCACTGGCCAATGAGGTCTGTTTGTATTTAATCAGACAATATGCAAATTATTTACAACCAATCATGGACCCCCCTTCCCCCCCAAGCCTGGGCCATGGAAAGAGGGAACCCCACCCTCCAGCCCTGCCCAGAGCCAGGAGTCCCCAAGGCCTCTGCATAGTCATCTGAAATCTACAAAACACTGTTTAAAAAAAAAAAAAAGACAGTATTAGGACACCTTATACAAGGGGTCTTAGGCAGTTGGAGGGGGACTGGAGAACACGCTTGGGGGTGAGCCCAGGCTTGACTGGAATGGACGGGAGCAGACTTGGGTGAGAGACATGTACGGGGGGGAGTTTAAATTCCACAGGCAGGCACCGCTTGGCCTCCTCCCCCGCTGCAAGGGCCTGGCTGGCTCGAGAACCCCTGACAGCGGGGACGTTATTGCTATGACGGGGAACTGGGTGAAAGGTGAAATGTACAATGTGTTGGGGGACAGAGTAAGGGGCATTTTTACATGTTAAATATGGACGCACATGGAAACACACACACGTGCACACACACACACACATACACACGCTGGGGCCCTTGGCAAGATGCCACAAACTGTCAGCTGCCCCTTTTCTGGATGGGTACACTGAGGCCCAAGGAGAAGCCCCTACATACTCTAAGGCTGAACAGCAGAGCCGGGGCCAAAACACAATTTTCTGACGTCCCAGCTGGGCTTTCTTGGATGCCAGACTCCAGGGACTAGGCAGGGGCTGGGCTGTTGCAGTAGCCGTGGCCAGGAGGCCAGTGTGGGGCACACACCACAGCCCAGAGAGGAAGCAGAGGCCGCCCCGGGTCACACAGTCAGTCCTGGTGACGCAGTGGGCCCCCAGCCTGGGCACTCCTTCCCGGAATGACGAATTAAACAGTGCCACTGGGTGGGAGAGCAGAGGCCAGGCGTTGAAATGCCACAGGACAAATGAGAAAGGTGGACCTGGATCCCCTGAGGCCAGAGCTAGGGCCTCTCGGCCGCCTGGATCTTCCGCTTCGGCTCGATTGCCTCCAGAGTCTGGGAATTCACTCCCTTCCAAGGGCAGCTGGCTCCAAGGGTCGAAGCCCACCCACATTCTGAGTGAAGCCCACGCCCACCTCCTCCATCCCTCATTCTCAGCCTGTGGGCAGCAGTGGGACTCTGCCCCCTTGTCCCCTGGGCTGTCCCAGTCCTTCCATGATGCCTCTGAGGACAATTCTCGTTGGTTCCTGAGGAAGATGGAGGGAGCACCAGTTCCAGTCCTACCACAACCCTGAACTGCTGAGGCCTTAGGGAAGTGACCTCCCCTCTCTGGACTCAGTTTCCCCCTGCATAAACCGGGGCGAGGAACTGATGATCTCTAAGGGCCCCTCTGATCTGCAAAGGGCAGGTTGGAGGGGTACTCAGCACACCCACCATCAAGTCAAGCGAGCCCCAGGCTGCCCAGCCCGGGAGCAGTGGCAGAGGGGTCCAGACCCAGCAGCCTCCACCTAGGTATTTCAGAACCAGGTGGAAGGGACAGGGTGGAGGCAGGCTGAGGGCCGGGGCCCGGCACTCCTCTTTGGGAAGTCTCTTTGGCCAGCTCTTGAGACAGACCTGGGCTGCATGGAAAATGGAGAGTCTGATGCGTGGAGAAGATTGAGGCTGCCAAAGGGGCGTCCCCAGCCTGGGCTCTTCCTCCCAGTTCCTCCTCCAGAGACCAAGAACTCGAGGAGGGACCCCGGGGAGGAGGCCGGCGGCTGGAGC